CCTAGAAATTCTGTCCATGAAAGTAATGAACAGAATCKGTGACAAAGGGCAGCCTTGGTGGAGTCCAACTCTCACCGGAAACAAGCCCGACTTACTGCCGGCAATGCGAACCAGACTCTGACACTGGTCGTACAAGGACCTGACAGCTCGTATCAAAGGGCCCGGTACCCCATACTCCTGGAGAACCCCCCACAAGGCCCGCCTTGGGACACGGTCGAACGCCTTCTGCAAGTCCACAAAACACATGTTAGACCAGTTGGCCGAACTCCCATGTACCCTCCAGGACCCTGCTGAGGGTGTAGAGCTGGTCCAGTGTTCCACGACCAGGATGAAAACCGCACTGCTCCTCCCGAATCCGAGGTTCGACTATCCGATGGACCCTCCTCTCCAGGACCCCTGAATAGACCTTACCAGGGAGGCTTAAGAGTGTGACCCCACTGTAATTGGAGCACACCCTCCAATTACAGGGGGGTCACACATAGACTATCAATTAGTCAAAACCTTTCCACAGAACCTCACTTTAAAATATTTGAAATAACCCTTTAAAGCGAACAGTCTCATCAGAATACGTGATATCTGGTCTCTGCTGAACTAAAACAGAACAATTAACATCTAAAGGTCAAGATTTCCATTAGCGGCTTGGGAAGTGAAAGACAACTTCCTGTGCCACTGATTTCATCATTAGTTTAGTTTGACTGAACATAAATCCAGATTTAAAACAATGAGCTTTATGATGAAAGTCTTTCTTTTGTTGACTGAAAACAGACTTCCTGTCAGTTCAACTCTCATCAGGGCAACACRTGAGCTCCTCAGAGCATTTTAACGGACATTACTCAGTCCTGGGTTAAAGCATTGATCTGATACTGATCTCAGGAAGAGTGAGGCGAGGACCGAATCGATGCTGCGACCCTGATTTKTGTGGTCTGAGCTCCTGCTGGAGAAACTGTAAYGAGAAACCGAAGAAAACCAACCGTCTTCTGATGTTTTATCACCTGTTCTTGTGTTCTCTTGTGTGAACCACTGGACGGATTTTATTTAAAATTTCTCTGTGTTTAGGGTGTCTACAACTGATTACCTTCAGGAGTTAACTTGATTCAAGWTGGCGGCCAAGGCTAAGGGATCTTAGCAAACACAACAAAGAGATTAGCAGATTTTCAACTAAAATTTGTTGTTGTATTAGCCAAGCTGATACAAATAGGTCAGGCCTTTGTCTGTGTTAGCAAAATATCTCATGAACTACTAATTTAATAAAACCCTCATTAAGTGCTCAAGAAGTGTGCACAAATTCAAGATGGCCGCCACAGGTAACCAGCTGACAGTCATACTCTCTTTTTAAAACCTTTATTGGAACTTATAACATGATACAAAATACAATTCATCCAGGGGGAATGAACATCTATAAGTGAAAAAGAAAACAAGTGTAATATTAAAAATAGAAATAAACTTAAACAATAGATAAAATGATTAAATCACAAAAAAGAACCAATCAAGATAAAAATAAATCAGGAATTCCAAAAAGTGAACAAGAATCTGTAAATTTCTTTGCCTTCTGATTAGTAGAAAAGTGAAATGAGTGGATATATATTGTGTAAATTCAATCATGAAGGAGATGAAATTTGTTTTTTCTTTAAACATTTGCTTTTATGTAAATGAAATTTGGCCTGAATAATTAAAAGATTAATAACAAATTCCTTTGAAGTCAATTTTGTATTTTGTGCTGAGAGTCATACTCAGCACTGATTCTGAGCGCTGTCAGATCTCGTGAGATCTCGCGATACTGTGTGACATTGAATTAAAACTGCTTCATGAGATGAGGTCAGTTCTAAAGGCGGCGGGCGACGTGCAGTCCGTTACCTGTAGCTGCTGGATGTGGACATCACCTCCTTTATCTGCCTGTTCACAGCATCAGCAGCCGCCCTGCTTCTCCGCTGCTCCTCCTCCGCCTCCTTCTTCACCTCCTTTTCCTTCTTCACCTCCTTTTCCTTCTTCACCTCCTTCTCCTGGATCTTCTCCTCGATCTCGCTCTTCTCCACGCCGCTCTCGGCCTCGGCGGGCCGTCGCTTCAGTCTCGCGGCCCCGGCGCTCTTCTCCGGGCCGGAGGTGGCGGCGGCGGGGCTGGGTTTGGGGATCCAGGGGTGGTCGTGTTTTCTCGGGATGGGCCAGGGCTTGTAGTCCTTCTGATACTGGGTCTCGTTGATGAACGGGGCCGGCGGGGGTTGGTACTCGTTCCTCGGCTTGCAGCTGGGCTCGGGCCGGACTCTCCACGCCTGGAAGTCTTGGCGCATGACGGACGCGGCGGAGCCATCTTTGGCCGCTGCGGCACCGCCGGCMGCGGGCGGCGCCTCGTCGGCGGCCGCCGGCTCCTCCCGGGTCTTGGGCTGCGGGTGGTGGTGCTGCAGCCTCTGCACGTCCGCCACGTCCGAGTACTTGGTGAAGACCAAAGGCACCGCGATGTCCGCCTTGTCCAGCTCGGTCCAGAAGCGGTTGATGCAGCAAGCGCGCGTGATGCACGGCCACGCCATGATGGAGGCAGATTATCACTGATGCACCGACTCAGGTGGTTTTAGTCCGGTCCGGATCRGTCTGCAGCAGCTTCCCTCTGTCTCTAAATGAAGTTTAGGACTTTGGAGCCGCCGCGTGCACAGTGCGCATGAGAGCGACCCCGCCCCACATTATAGTGATGCCCCCCCTCCAGTGTCTGCATGAACCATCACCTGAGAGGATACACATTTAACCCCGTCCTAACAATAACAATAAGACCCTGGTTTCATTTGACTGAGTTGGGAAATAAAACGAATCCAGATGTTAGTTTAAATGTGCTTRAATCTGAATTTGATGCAACAAAAAGACTTAAAACGAGGCTAAACAGTATTTTTCTTTGCTCAGGGAAGTTAATTGAAAACCACAATCAAGTCGCACTTTATGGCTTTTTATTATTATTTCCAAAGTTGTAAAGTAACTAAGTTGTTACTGTACTTAAGTAGAATTTTTGGGTATCTGTACTTTACTTGAGTAATTATTCTTTAGCCTACTTTTTACTTCTTACRTGTTCACACAGTTATCTTTTTACTTCTTACATTTTTAAAAAGGCAAGAAAGTTCTTTTTTATTTCATTTTTGCATTTCAGCTTGTTATTGTAAATAATAATAATAATATCCATCTAAATTGTGCCTCATGTATTTAATTGTGGTTAAATGAAAAGTAGCCTATTATATAAAATTCTGATACTGTATTAGTTTGTACACAAACAAATCATGTCACACTCCAGCAGGATATAATCATTAAAATAAAAGGACTGTACTTAAGAAGTATTTGTACTTCATGAATTACATTGTTGCATTTGGTTGCAGCCCTCAGATAGATTTTCATTTTGGAGAAAAGGTTTGGGCAGCCTTGAAACAGTTAGACTAGTACATCCTAAATTTAACAAATTAATTATTTTTAGTACAACAAAGTCATTTCTGCATCGTTTTTGGGAGGTCACCTCCTAATAAATGTCATTACAGAAAACCTAACTGCTCATTTTAAATCAATACTTTTACTTTTAATACTTAAGTACAAAAGCAACCGATACTTTAAGACTTTTACTCAAGTTACTAAAGGAGACTTTAACTTTTAAAAAAGTAATTTTCTGGTAAGATACTTGTACTTTTGCTTAAGTATCACTTTGTGGTACTTTATACAACACTGATTATTTCATTAAGTGCTGAAGAAGGTGAATAAAGCTGAACTTTAAATGTTTGGTCTTTTTATGTCTCTATAATTTAAACTAGGTCAAGACAAAAAAAGAATAACTGAAAAAGGAAAAATGGATGCAGGGACTAAGACAAAAATAATCTAAAATAAAAAAGACACAAACAAGACATGRCTAAAGACAAATATCTCAAATGAAGCAGATATTATAGATTTCAACCATGCATTTCAATAAAACTACCATTATTTTTTGATTACAAAAACTAAAGTCATGTAGGATCTGAAGAAAACTTTATCACTGTTTTATTTATATATATACACTCACCGGCCACTTTATTAGGTACACCACGCTAGTAACGGGTTGGACCCCCTTTTGCCTTCAGAACTGCCTCAATTCTTCGWGGCATAGATTCAACAAGGTGCTGGAAGCATTCCTCAGAGATTTTGGTCCATATTGACATGATGGCATCACACAGTTGCCGCAGATTTGTCGGCTGCACATCCATGATGCGAATCTCCCGTTCCACCACATCCCAAAGATGCTCTATTGGATTGAGATCTGGTGACTGTGGAGGCCATTTGAGTACAGTGAACTCATTGTCATGTTCAAGAAACCAGTCTGAGATGATTCCAGCTTTATGACATGGCGCATTATCCTGCTGAAAGTAGCCATCAGATGTTGGGTACATTGTGGTCATAAAGGGATGGACATGGTCAGCAACAATACTCAGGTAGGCTGTGGCGTTGCAACGATGCTCAATTGGTACCAAGGGGCCCAAAGAGTGCCAAGAAAAGATTCCCCACACCATGACACCACCACCAACAGCCTGAACCGTTGAGACAAGGCAGGATGGATCCATGCTTTCATGTTGTTGACGCCAAATTCTGACCCTACCATCCGAATGTCGCAGCAGAAATCGAGACTCATCAGACCAGGCAACGTTTTTCCAATCTTCTCTTGTCCAATTTCGATGAGCTTGTGCAAATTGTAGCCTCAGTTTCCTGTTCTTAGCTGAAAGGAGTGGCACCCGGTGTGGTCTTCTGCTGCTGAAGCCCATCTGCCTCAAAGTTGGACGTACTGTGCGTTCAGAGATGCTCTTCTGCCTACCTTGGTTATAACGGGTGGTTATTTGAGTCACTGTTGCCTTTCTATCAGCTCGAACCAGTCTGCCCATTCTCCTCTGACCTCTGGCATCAACAAGGCATTTCCGCCCACAGGATGTTTTTTCTTTTTCGGACCATTCTCTGTAAACCCTAGAGATGGTTGTGTGTGAAAATCCCAGTAGATCAGCAGTTTCTGAAATACTCAGACCAGCCCTTCTGGCACCAACAACCATGCCACGTTCAAAGGCACTCAAATCACCTTTCTTCCCCATACTGATGCTCGGTTTGAACTGCAGGAGATTGTCTTGACYATGTCTACATGCCTAAATGCACTGAGTTGCCGCCATGTGATTGGCTGATTAGAAATTAAGTGTTAACGAGCAGTTGGACAGGTGTACCTAATAAAGTGGCCGGTGAGTGTATATATATATATAATCAACGTACAACAAAAAAGCCAGAGCTCAGTGTTCCTGACAGAATAAAAACGCCACATTTTATATTAAAACTTCAGCAAAATACAGGATAAAATATTTTACCAGTCAAGAACCAAAGAGTTTACATACCAGTTAGTATCGTGGTATAAATACTTACTTTTTGAAGTGAAAATTTAGGTCACAAGCCCCCCCCCCCCAAAAAAAAGTACATTAAAATATTGACTTGACAGGTTTTTCCAGCTGAATGAGAAATAAACTGAGCTCTCTGCCGCCATCATCTGGTCTGATTTTAAAACACACTAAAAACTTCTTAAACAAAACACAGGAGCTTAAAATATCCAACACATTTATTTTGCATCAACACAACACAGCAATTTTACAAAAAAAAAAAAAAAAAACTATAACCTAACACAACTGGAAGGAACTTGTAATATTTACAGACTTCAGCCTCTTTAGGGTCTTTTAGTGGTCAGATTGTTGTGTTGTAAACCAAAAGCCTAACAGAAATCTCAATAATTTTATTATAAAGGCTCGTTTTAGATGTTTATTAAAATAACCAACACTTCACTTTTTGCATATTTAAACAAACTCACAGTTCAGATCCATAAAAGGAAGAACATTTGTTGTTTTTGTTCCATCAGTAACCTCACACCACTGTTGTCACAATTTCATCCCCGGCGGCGTCCTCGGCCTCGGCGTCGTCCTCGGGGTACAGCCTGCAGTACTGGTCCACCATGACGTCCAGGTCCGGCTTCACGTGAGCGTTGACGTGCAGCACGGCGAGGCTTTTGTTTCGCCGCTTTGAAGGAACATTTTCCAGGTACGCCCGCAGGCGGTGGCTCGCCGTGGGGTTTTTGACGTCTTCCAGTTTGAGCACGGGCAGAGTGGAGAGCACCTTCAGGAAGGCGTTGACGTTGGGGAAGAACTTGACGTCGGGCAGCTGCARGGTTTCCTGGATGGTGGTGGGCAGGCGCACCTCCTTGCCTCGGTGCTTCCATTTGATCCTCCAGCAGTGCAGCTCCGCGGGGAGCGTGTCGGGGTTGGGGAGGTCGGTGCGGTAGACCTCGGCGTAGTTCTCCTCGGAGGTGTTGAACTTCATCTGGCCCATGACGGCCGGCACCAGCGTCAGGCACTTCAGGGCTTTGAGGTTGGTGTCGGAGAACATGTCCTCCACCTCCTGCATGACGCCGCGGATGACGGGTACGGTCACGTACTCCTTGAAGTACAGCTCCGCTTGGCTCTCGCCCATGTCGGCCGCGCGCTGCTTCCGCAGGAACAGCCTCGGGACGGACACCCGGATCCCCACGGAGGAGGCCACGCTCACGGCCTCCTCGTACCAGAACTCGTGGTAGACTTCGATGTTGTCGTTGACCTCGTTCAGCGAGTGCAGGACCGCCGTCAGGCTGTTGGCGGCGGAAAATACGTCGAGGGTTTCGCCCTGCAGGTTCTTCCCAAAGGCTCTGGTGAACGTGAGGACGTTCTTTAAGACGACGATCGTTACGATGACCTCGAAGTCGGCGAGACTTTCCGCGATCGAGTAAGCGTCTCCTGCGACGCAGCTCGGAAACTGTCCGTCCTGGTTGTCCCGAACGCTGTCCATGCACAGCAGCAGAGCGGGCAAAACGTCCACCAGCAAATCGAAGACGTTATGCTGCTCCAACCATCCCGGGACGCACATCTGTTTCAGCGCAGCTCCCTTTTCCTCGTTCTTCTGGTAGTGGGTCACAATGGCTTTCTCAAGCTCCTCCTGAGTTAACGGGGTTTTAAAGAAAGACCGAATCCTCCTCAGAGTCTCCATGACAATCTGGACGTTGGGAAACGGGAGGTTGTTGGCCAGGTGGACGTTCAGCGCCATGTGAGAGCAGGGCATGTGCAGCGCGAGCGGATACTTCTCCATCAGCAGCACGGCCACGGCTTTCATCTTGGTGGTGGAGGTCCCGGTGGCCTCGTGGCCCTGACCGCGACAGTCTTCCATGCTGAGCCCCCACCGGTCAGTCAGCTGGGCCTCGATCCGCTCTATGACGACCGACTCGTCTTCATCCACCAACGGTAAGAAGTCCAGCAGCTCCTCCCGGAGGACATTCTGCTGATTCACAAAGCGCAAGAACAGCGGCAAGTGTTTCTCGCCGGCGAACTCCACGAGGTCCCCGGTCACCAGGGAGAAGAAGCGACTCTCCCTCACCTCCATGAGCATCTCCTCCCTCACTGTGTTCTCGCAAACATCCAGGAGCTGGCTCTGCTGGGCCGCGGAGAGGTACTCCGAGTTCATGGCCGTCGACTCAAACCTTTTCCTCAGAGCGTTATCACCAGCGTTCATGCAGAAATCAAGAAGGGCCTGGAAATTGTTGGACTTGAGCTCGGTTTCGGAGACGCTTTCAGCCGTTAAGGGGATTCCCTGATTTGCCAACATGAGCAGGATCTCAAACAAGGACCTCAAGTAGTCCCGGTACTCTTTCTCCTCCGTAGACAGCTGGGGTTCGTTGTCAGCTTCGTTTGTGTTGTCCTTATCTGCTTTAATAGCCTGCTGAGAAGCTACTGCAGAGTAAAGCAGAAACAAATGTGGTTTTAACAAAATACATCAGTTAAACTAGAAACTGATCAACCCAAGCGCTCAACTTTAAATACTCACATCTCCTTTCTCTCATTCTCTGTATATCCTCATCAGTCTAAAAAAAATTAAAAAAATAATAATAATAATACAGGAATCAGACAACCTAACTAAATAATTAAATTGTTTAAATGTTAAAATTGCTTACAAGTTCTTTAATCTGCTTGCGATGTCTGGTGTGAGGATTTTTCAAGTGGCTCGTCAGATCAAATATGGTCGGGATGGCCGTGTCCTTCAGTACCGTCCTGTAGGGACTCTAAAAAAAGTTGAGAGACGAAAAAAATTTACGGACACGTTGCTAAAGAACACAACCGGAAAATCGTTCTGACACTCACCGTCTTGCAAACCATGGCTGGGTCAAAGTGTTTGGCACACARTCTGTAATGTTTATTTAACTGGTCTGATGTTTTGGCCTCCAGATCAGCCCTGCGGCAATTCTCCACCCAGATCCTGCATCTAGAAAARAAAAACAAGAACGCACGTTTGTAGATTCGATGCCTGAGAGACAATGAAGTGGCTCTGGTAGAATAACATGGAAATGAATTATTTTCGTATCTAGAATATTAATAATTATAGCTAATTTCTGTAGTTTTTTCTTTCTGGAGAGAAAAATCTCAACAAAATCCAACAGAAAATTAGCAGGTTAAGACAAATTAATGAGCAGTAAAAACAGAAAGTGCAGTTTTGCAAAATAAATTGATGTAAGAAAACATGGCAATAACATGAGAATAAGAAATARCATCTTCTATTAAAACAATGTATAAAATATTAATAAACTTCTAAGAGTTTTGTATTATTTGTGTTATTTTTTATTAGTCTGCAAATAGATGCTTTATAATTTGTTAGTGAAATTGTTGTTTGGTATTTTTCAGAAATGTGGTACTGTAGTGCATTTTGTTATCATAAATACATCTTTACTTGTATAAAAAAGCATGTGAGTTTTGCAAAGTGACCTTTTCTATGTGAATGTTTCTAAATCTGTGTACTTCACCGTTCTGACAGAGAATGAAAGCAGTGAAGACACTGAAATAGTAAATAAAACCATTAAGAGTTTCAAACTAAGAAACACGGGCGTGGTCTGCTAGCATGACACAGTAACGATGTTCTACCTTACCTCTCTGGATCCCGGGGAAACCTAAAAAAGGCCAAATCCGACTGGGTGCTTTTCCGCGTGCAGTTCGGAGCCGCGCAAAAATTTGGCATAATTGAGGCTAAACAGTTAGCTTTGCTAACTYAACTCTGTTATCATCTGCTAACTCGAGGGACTTCCTGTCGGTGGGAAAGTTGACGTTAGGGATCATCAAAACCGAAGCTCCACCTGCATGTCGTACGATGGAGTAAAATAGACGTTTACGCCAACTTTGGGACAATTTGACACACGATACGGACAGTTACATTTAGATTTGTGCTAGGATCGCTTTGCGGACGGATGCCCCGCCCATGAAAAAAAGTGATTGGTGGAACTTGAAGTTACACGCATAACCATTGGCCACTTGATTTTTCGTGTAAACCAATGGAGTGTCCACAAAGGAACCAATTCTTCTTCTTCTCGTCAAATGCTGTAACATCCAGGTAATATCTGGCYATCTGGCGTCACCTGCAGGACAATTTATGGAAGAGTTTTGACTGGAAGAGAGTAGTAACAAATGGCTAACCTTGAGCACGATCATTGTTAAAAAAAAAATAAAATTCTGTAATGACTGCCTTCGTTTTTAACACTCCTTCCTATAGTATGCAAGTAAAATGTTTTCGTCTGGCTTTTTCGTTTTCAAAATTAGTTTCACYCGTTGAAATGTGGCTCGTTGGTCTAGGGGTATGATTCTCGCTTAGGGTGCGAGAGGTCCCGGGTTCAAATCCCGGACGAGCCCAATTTTTGTGTTTTCCTTTTCTTTGTTTTTTTCATAAAACTTTTTGTACTGCTGTTGTTGATCTTTCTGTTGAATAAACGACCAAAAAAAACAAAAAACGACTCACTTTCTTTGCAGCTCGAGTAGTAATGCGCATAGAGTGCATCAAAATTCCTCTAAACTAAGAAATAATACTGATTCATTCAATATTCAAAAAGTTTCATTACATCTTAAACTTTCCGCTCACTTTGAAATGAGGATGTAGRTTTAAAACAATAAGGGCTCGTCCGGGATTTGAACCCGGGACCTCTCGCACCCGAAGCGAGAATCATACCCCTAGACCAACGAGCCAGGTCACAATAATATTACGTCATGTTTCATCAAATATGCACCCCTASGCCCTGCAAACTGGCATTTTATCTGTTTCATTTTATGAATTGTATGTTTTGGAATTTAGAAAAATGGGTCGCACTTAGGTAATGTAATGTAGTAAGACAATAACGACACAAAACAATTCAATTAACTTCTTTTTATATATCATACATAAGACTGTCTTAATATAATACAAAGGGCATTGTCATAAACACAGCAAAGTCTTGACTAGATCTTACAATCTGTGGATACATGGACTTATCCTTTCCCCCCATGCTGTTCAATTCTATAGTGCATGTTGCATGTACAAAAAAAGTGGGGAAAAAAAGTGAAATAAAAAATGGAAACGATAAATCCAAGGTAAATTTGAAAAGAAACAAAAACAGAAAGAAAAAAAAAAAGATTTCAACTTCTTTCGGGTGTTCAGATATGTTAATAAGGATCCGTGTCTGTGTGTAACCCACAAACTGAACAGGCTTTTATGAAAGATGGAACCTCTTTTCAACCATGTGCTTCTCATATAACCAAAAAGTAAGGTCTGTGATGTACATGCACTTACAATATACCCTGTGAAAATTATTAAGGTTTGAAGATCTAGCTTTCCCTGTTTGATTCAAACCCTACCTCATAGTGTTGTCCTGATGTAGTCAAGTACCCCAGCCAAAAGGCCAAGGTTTTTGCCACTAAGAAACAGGAGTTCCTGCCCACTGAATGGTCACCAGATTGACAAACATAATCAACATACCAGCAGGAGCAAGGTAGTGAGTTCTATACTTCCTTTATTAAAAAAATATAAATATATACATAAATTCTATTTCAACTATTAAAAAGGGGCTGCATTTCATGACAACTGCTCTAAATAAGAGGTCAATCAGCATGATCTGAAATAGGCGCACACTTACGAGTCACAGCAGTCAATTTTTTTTTGTTTTCTTTTTTTTTTTTTACTTTTTCAGTCTTTTTATTTTTGGAATGTTTAGTACCAGTATGAGTGCCAGTAAGAAAAAACCACTGACAAAAAAGATCTGAACTTCTCAAATTCAGCGGGAGGAGGAGGGGGGTGTAGGGTGTGCGGGGGGGTATGAAAGAAAAATGATTGCAAATATGCAATTAACCTTGACATCCAGATAAAACCCCAATCTCGATATAGGTAGCTTTACATTTGTGTTTGGAGGAAATAGCGAAGGTGGGTTTTCCCGTTTATAAAACGACAAACAGCATGACCCGTCTCCTGCCCTTTAACTGGTGAGGTGACTGTGGGCAGGGTTTGTTTTTCTATTTTTTTGTTTTGTTTTTACAAATTTTCCCAAAAAATGTGGTCAAATGTGCAACAAAAAAGGAAGAAAAGCAAGTTAAAATCCCTGATATAAAAAAAATCTGGTAATTGGCTGTTTTTGTATTTTTTTGTTTTTTTGTAGACATGCACATCTGCCTAAGCAAAGCACTGTTATGGTGGACCGACAAGACAACCTCTCCCTTTTCAACAGGACTACAATCGTGGGGGGGATTTTGAACCCGATCAAATCAGACACAAACTCGTTCGCCACTGTTCCTCTTACCCTGGCAAGGCGATGACAAAAAAAGTCTTGCTTTGTGGCAGAAACTAGCTAAGTTGACCAAATGATGTATGAAAGGCAGCAACACCCTTTGAAATAGTATGATGGAGGGGGGTGGGAGGGGGCAAAGAAAAAAAAAGAAATAAAAATAAAATAAAGATGACACAGAAATAGAACGCATTAGTCTCCTTTTTTGTTTTTTTAAACCATCAGCCTCTATTCTTGCTACTCCGGAGCCTGCAGAGTAACTACCAAATTTTCTAAACATACCAAAGTTGTTTTTATTTTTTTGTTGTTGTTGTTTTTCTTCTTTAAAAGACTCCCCAAAAAAATCTACCAATTAATATGGAATCGGTTTTGGTAAAACATTGCAAACAAACCTGGCCAGAACACACGACAGCCAACGGTCTCGACGACGGCCTCCAGTTTTTCGCTAAAGTAATATATTGCAGCTGTTTGTGTTGACGTTAAAATAAGACCTTGATAAACTTTGCGTCAAAGTGGTGAACTGCTACATTATTGGTTACAGACACCTATATGCTATAAAACAACTGCTTTGGTATAAAAACATATCCAAAGGGAAAATAAATTCTTGTAAAATTCACAGCATAATTTGAGGAGAAAAAAGGCAGTCACTTAACTCTTTTTTTTTTCTTTAGTTTCCATGTTTTAGATGAAGAGACTTGTGCAGGTGGTTCTGATGGGGGGAGGGAGGGGGACTACATGCAAAAGGGGAACAAAATAAAAACATAAAACAAGGGGGGGGGGGGTAGACTCTGGAATAGATAGTTCTTTCCACTGCAAAAATCCTTAACCAGTGAATTTGAAGGAAGTAATGTTTAGGAGGTTGTTGTGTACAATAAGACCCTGTTATGTGGGGCCCTGCTGAAGATGAAATCTTTGTCAAAAAAGGCCTCAAATTACCATTCTTATTTACCTTTTCTAAGTTGTTTTAATTTCCTTAAAGAATTAAGGGCTGTCTAGAGAGAGAGATAGAGAGAGAGAGAGAAAAAAATAGAGAAAAGCCATCTTAAATTCAAATGAAAATGTCCATCTCCATGCCGTTCCAAGTCCATGAGTCATAAGGCCAAAGGATTATCTAGAACCAGCCGCTGACCGTCTTCCTTTCACTGGGCTGGATCCTCTCGTCTCTCGTGCCTGTCGCTGCTCTCGCCTGTGCCGGGCCCCGGTCGCAGCTTCACAGGACAACGGGGGAGGCCTATAGGCCTGAG